TTTCACTACAAATTATCGATAATACCAGCTTAACAAACATAGCACCCAGATTAAATACGATCACGGCTGATCCATGGAATTTGCAAGACTGACCTTCTGGTACACATTCATCTCCTCCTTGGTGAGAGTGACCTCCTCGAGATGGGCCTGGCGGTCTGGCAGACAGGCCAGCTGCCCTTTCTGCTGCAGCTGCACCTTGGTGCGCCGTAGCAGGATGCAGCGCATGACGGTGCTCATGCGCTCTTGGCCGCCGATGCTCTTGTTGTCGATCCACTTCTTCCACATCTGGAAATTTACACACAGTTCGCGTACGACTGGAAAATACCACTCGCAGAAGTTGACAAAACAGTTGAAGCAAAGGATTTTTCAACAAGAACTTTGTTTTGTAAATCAAATTAAAACAATAAATTTAGACGACAATGATTCAAATTTTTATTTCATTAAAAAAAATAAGGTTTGGCAATTATGAATGGAAAATGATATTTGATAAATGTCCACCACGACCACAGATACAGACGTCGATACTTTCATCAAAATTTTTAATCACTTTTTGACAAAATGGTGGGTCTATTACGTTAATCACTTCACAATTTTGAATTTGAACAACTCTCTTGAGGAATCGGAGCTACAACATCTCGACCATCGCAGAAAAGTAGCCTGCTTATCGGTTTTCTGTCGAAACATTTCGTGGACAGTGTGCAGGAACTTTTCAATTTAGTTCCACGATCACCGTTCCTACTTCGGTCGACTAGAAGGTCCTAAACGCATACAATCAGATAACTATAATGGAACAAGCAAGAAACGAACAACAGTCAACACAGTCGCAGTCCCTATTTGATGAGCTGGTCAGCAGTGCCCCCTCAATGGTATGTGCTGTACCACCCTCCTCTTCAGAATCAATCACCATAGATCTGACTTGTGAAAGTCACTCATTTAATTCAACAGCTTTAAATAGTAGTAAAAAAAAATATGTTAAAATTAATAAATACATATCTACCACGAACAAATTAATAAAGAAAAATGCAGCATTTTGTCAAAATATATCATTAAGAAAAGAACGTCAGAGTTTGTTGAGTGAATTGAGTGATTGTACTCAAAATCTTGAGAAAAATAGGCTTAGCTATGAATGTGACACACAGCGCCTCCAGGCAGAATTACTTAGTGTAACAAATTCATTAAAATTAATAACACAGAAATATGAAACTGCGCAACAGGAGATTAAGGAGCACACACAGGCTATGGATAATTTATTAGATTTATATAGATATAATAATGACAGATTTGAGTCTCTAACAAATAATCAAGTTTGCAATTGCAAAGAAATAAAACCACAATCCTCCCTGTCTGTGTGTGTCACTGATCCCTCCTTATTGTTGTTGCAGGAATCTTGTTTAGAATCAAAAAATACCTCTTTGTCAATAACTAGGTCAAATGAAATTCAAAAAAATATTGTTATGTATAGTGATGAAATGGGTAAAAATATAGGTTTGCAACTTAACCACCTAGGAATAAAATTAACAAATATTTGCATGCCAGGTGCAACATACTGTAAAATATTAGATAGTATTTTGTCAACTAAATTCGACAAAGACATTAATAATTTTAATTGGCAGAAGAGGAAAATGTAACAAAAAAGATTTAATACAGTATTTTTCACAATTAAATAATTTAATTAATATAAAAGAAATTATTTTGTTAGCTTTTCCCTTCGGCAATAGCCTCACACCAAGTGAAAATAATTTGAGGCATAACTTAAATAGAACTTTACACAGCTTGACATTTCATTATAGTAAATTTCATTTTATGGATACTAATAATTTTATTAGTAAATATTTTTATTTGACTAAAGATAGGTATTATCTTACTAGTTATTTTAGGAGACAGATAGCAGAGTTGCTATCATATTATATTAATAATTCAGCCAAATCCTTGGCTACCAGACCGGCTGCTTCTATTGAGCAGTCCGTTGACATAGGTCAGTTTACTGACAATAATCATTCTGTTTATAATTCTACTTCTAATTATTTAAATTAATTAATAAGACAACGGAGAGATACTCTTGCAACACAATGACAATAAAAAACCAACCTAAAACACACAGAAATAAAATAAATTGTATATTAAACCTGGTGCATCAAAATATTCAAGGCATGAAAGGCAAAGAGTTAGAAATAGAATTATTTATTAACTGTAATAATATTGATATTCTGTGTATTACTGAACACCACTTTCTATCAAAACATCAGTTCATGTTTAGCTTCAACAATCACCAGGTGGCTAGTTCGTTCAGCAGAGAAAAAGCTATTCATGGCGGCTCTTTGATTCTTATTAAAAATAATTTAAAATTTAAAGAACGTACAGATATTGTGAGCCTATCTATTGAGCGGACTATAGAGATATCCTGCATAGAGCTTGAACGGCTTGTTATATTAAGCGTGTACAGACCCCCTCATTCATCTTACGAACTATTTGAAAAAAGATTAGAAGAAGTTTTAGGCAAATTAAATAATCCAAATAAATATATTGCTGTTTGTGGTGACTTCAATGTTAACTTATTAGAAGATTCCAGTGCTAGCAGTAGGCTCATATCATTTTTCCAATGTTATAATCTTGTGAATCTTTTCTTGGTGCCTACTAGAATAACTTCTACTACTGCCACTTGTTTAGACAATATTTATACTAACGCCGTACCTAGTAATAAATCTATTATAAATAAATTAACTTCTGATCACTGCGGTCAATTGGCCACTTTTAATATAACTGTTGACAAAATGCCAAAAAAGGATATCACATGTGTTCCGATAAATAATGGTCGACTTAAAGCTTATAGAAATAATGTAATGCTTAAACTAACTGAACTTCCGTACGTTAACGATCCCAATAAATTGTATAATTCAGTTTTCAACATAGTCAAAAGTGAACGTGATAACGTTTTTAGGTCCAAAATCATAACTATTAATAATTCATTGAAATTTAGTGATTGGGCGACTGTGGGAATTCACAAAAGTAGACAAAGACTATATGATCTTTACGATGAAAGGACTTATAACACTAGTAACAGTTTTAATGATTTTGTTAGGAAATATTCGAAAATGTTTAAACGTGTTTGTGTTGCAGCCAAAGCAATGTTTATAAATAATAAAATAAAAAGCAGCGCGAATGTAGTAAAAACGACTTGGAATATTATAAACAGCGAAACTGGAAGGGTCAAACGTCGTAACTTAGATTTTCAACTAAGATTTAATGACAAAATTGTAAACACAGACGCAGAAGTTGCTAAAATATTTGAAATTTTTTTTACTGACATTCCAATTTTGACTACTAAGTCGTTAAATTCATCTCCCACCGCCGCACTATGGAAAATGGTAGAACAAGCACGGATCAAAAATCATTTTGAACAATGTCGTTATTGATATATTTTTTAATTTTATCGTATAGTTTAATGACGCAACTAATTTATACAGAAGCATTTTTCCATAAAAAACGTATAGTTTTTTTTATACAAAATGTCAAACATGATTGAACGAAAACAATATTTTTGAGGGAGTTCACTACTCATCTTTGCAAGTTAATTTGAATAGTAAATATTATAAGAAATTAGTAAGTGTTATACATTTTTAAAAAGGTTATTCTTTGTAGATTTTCACAACATACTTTATTTATATTTTGTATTAAAAATTACGTTTAAATAAATCGAAAATGAAATAAGGACAAAAACCTGTGTTTTTAAAATTGATTAAGAGTTTTGACACTTACCAACGTCCTCCCTACTTGAGATTCGAATGTTAAATGGTAGCCTAGTTATTAAATAATAACATGTATAAAAATTGGCTGCGCCTTTTTGCGCTTTTCGAAGTTATTGGTACAAATGTGATAAGAGTCCGAGAAACGGAAAACCACTATCTGCTGCGGTTTCGAGTGTTGATCGTTTCTATTGATAGTTTGAGGTAAGTTTTGTTATTTACTATCAAAAAAACATAGTTATGACAAACTTTATCAGTTTTGCACTCATTATGTGTGTGAATAAATTTATCAAAACTCTGCACACGAACCTTTTTTTTAAATGGTATATAAAGGGCTGATTTTATAATAGTTCATTACAGATTCAAAAGATATTAATATACGCGCGTTTGTTAAGGACAGACATTGTATTTTTTAACATTGAAATGTCTACCTTCAAGTTGTCTAAACGTGAAATAATAGTTTCGTATATCGAAGGAGGAAAAACTATGTTAGCAATATCAACTCTTTTGAAAGAAAATCATCAAATCTCTGAAGACAACATATGCTTCATTATCAGTGACATTCAAAGACGTATGATTCCCGTTTTCAATACAAAATGGGAGCAAGCTTCTCGGAAAAAAGAAAGGTTTTTGAAGAACAATAGCAATTGGCTGGACTTGGAATATTCTGTGACTATACCCACTTCAGAAGGCGTTTTAACCGATACCACTCCATCTACATCTTCTGGAAAACGTGGAAGACCATGCATATCTTACGCAGACTCGTCACAATCTAGCAAGAAAAGAAAAAACTCAGTGTTGCTTAATGAATATGGATTTGAGCATATTTATAATGCATACATACAGGGATTACGTTCGATAGAAGAAGGAACGGAAGCAAAACTTGTGGAAACATTAAGATTTGCTGACAGAGAAAAGAAGATATTAATCTCGAGTCTCATAGAAAATCCAAGGCAGAATAAAATGCTTATAGACGAAGAAGCATTAAGCATTTTGATTGACTTAGATTTAACGAAAGCACAATACTTGTATTTGAGAAATTTAACAGACGGAAGAAACTGTTCTATATTCCCACCATATTACAAAATACAAGAGATTAAACAAACCTGCTATCCACCATCTGCAACTATTGAAATTACAAACATAGGAGCAAGAGTAGTAAAACTTCAAGATTTATTAGATCACACAGCAGCCAGGATTTTAAGAATAGATTCTGTATATAAAGATGGATTAAAACATTTACTTCTTTACAGTAAATGGGGATGTGATGGTTCATCAGGACAAAGTCAGTATAAACAGAAGCTTCCAGAAGAGTCTGAAGTTGTATCAGATGCTAACTTATTTATCACTTCTTTAGTACCCATTAAATTAATTAATGAGCTAACAGGAGATGTGGTATGGCAAAATCCTGTACCTTCGTCTGTACGTTTTTGCCGTCCTATATTATTAGAGTTTTGCAAAGAAACGCCTGAGAAAACTAAAGCAGTTGTGGATGACATAAAATTGCAGATAAATTCGTTGATCCCAACTTTGATTAATAGAGAAGGCGAGGGAGTTCAAGTAAAACATGAACTTTTCTTAACAATGATAGACGGTAAAGTAGCTCAAGTATTAACAGAGACACCTTCTGGCTCCACATGTACAATATGCAGAGCTACTCCACGGCAAATGAATGATTTGACGAGAGTGACTGCTAGGCCTGAAAATGAAGAAAGTTATCAATACGGACTTTCTACATTACATGCCTGGATACGTTGTATGGAGATGATTTTACACATTTCCTACAATCTTTCTTTTAGAACATGGTCTGCAACGACTGAAGAAAAGAAAAGACAAAAACAAGAGAAGAAAACTCTAGTACAGAAACGTTTTCGTGATGAGTTGGGACTGATAATTGACCAACCACGTCAAGGAACAGGAAATAGCAATGATGGCAATACTGCTAGGAGATTTTTTTCTAATGCAAGTTGCTCTGCTGAAATTACTGGTGTGGATGTGACTTTGATAAAACGTCTCTACATAATACTACAAGCACTTTCATCAGGTGTGATGGTAGATGCGGAAAAATTTGGTAGTTATGCTATGGAGACTGCCAGGATTTATGTCAGTAATTATGAATGGTACTATATGCCATCCTCAGTTCACAAAATCTTAATACACGGAGAAAGTATTATAAAGCATTTTGCAGTGCTTCCGATTGGTCAACTTTCGGAAGACGCACAAGAATCCCGTAATAAGGATTACAAAAACTTTCGCCTTCATCATGCCCGAAAATGCTCCCGAGCAGCCACAAATGAAGACGTATTTCATACTCTTCTTTACACATCAGATCCATACATAACAAGCATTAGAAAACCATACAGCAAAAACGTTAAAGAACTCGATGAGGATACACTACATCTTTTGAAAGTGAACGAATTAATTTTAGATCCGGAAGCTCGGCAAGTTTAGTTGGCAAAAATCTATTAATAAATATTTATACAAACCATATAGGTATAAATTGCAATAGGTACATTAAACCTTTAATGTGCATTTAAAATAATATTAATAACTTTCAATACACTTTTTTTTCAGTTATTGTTTAAGTAGAATTAGCTTTTCATATTTTTATATTAATGTATCTTGGTAATGTAGTTGCATATTTATGTCTTAATTCCTACGAAACATAAATAGTTACTAACATAAAAATGAATAAACTCCATTTATTGATCGTTTTTATTGGACTTTGATTTTTAATATTTTATAATAAAATATGTATTATACTAATTTATACCAAACTATCACATTCGAAGCCTTATATATTCCTCTACAATAACGCAAAATTTCAAGACATAATTTTAAGAAACAAAAAAGTTATTGATTTTTGATCCGAAACGCACCCATATTTTCCATAGTGCGCCGCTGAATCCTTACTAAAAGAAAATAATGCAGTTAGTATCACTAATTTGAGGTTCCGTCATGTATTTCCAAACGATATTGTTAAAGCCTTTAAGTCTATAAACATAAAAAATACAGCTGATCTTGATGGTCTTTCAGTCAGAGTAATTAGTTCTATAGTTGATTGTATTGCGCCTTATTTGGCCTGTGTCTTTAATAAATGTGTTGATGATGGTGTCTTTCCTGACCTCATGAAGCAAAGTAAAGTTATTCCACTTTTCAAATCTGGTAGTATTCCTGACCCCACCAATTTCAGACCTATATCAATACTACCAACTCTCAGTAAAATATTTGAAAAAATTATTCTAAATCAGATGTGTGCACATTTTTATAGTAATAACTTAATGTCTCCTAAACAATTTGGTTTCACTCGGGGTCGCTCTACAACCGATGCTGGTGTCGAGTTGATTAATCATATATTTGATGCATGGGAAGTCTCACATGATGCTATTGGTGTATTCTGTGACCTTTCCAAAGCTTTTGATTGTGTGCACCAT